ACAGGTGTAACCTGGAATTCCCCTTTGGAGATGCAAAAGATGATTTGGGAGGTAATTCCAGGGGTTTTGGGGTAGTCCCTGCAGCATCACTGCAGTTATTTCCCAAGGCCTCAATTTTTCCATTTCCCAGGAAATTTGTTAATTTGTGGGTAAGTGCTTGGATCCCAGGTTAGTAAAGTCATTTAACCTGATTCAGCATATTCTAAGTATATTCCAGGACTCCTCTTCTTTTCAAATAATCAAGACTATTACCCTAAATACATAAATTTTCCTCTAAGATTTTTGTTTAGGCACACTTTACATCACTTCCTCTGTCTAGATCCTGCCTGCTTTTCTCCAGCATGGAAAAAAATAACCTGTGATCTCTGAGGAGTTCTCAGATGCTGAATTTCAAATCAATGAATTAAATTTGAATCCCAGTGGTTCTGCACTTCCCCAGTTGTTCATCACTTGCAGGTTTTATTACATTTTAGAGGATACCATTAAATCCAGCCACCCCCAGAGATACTGGTTGGACTTTGGGAGCCTAAAGACAAGGAGAGCATGGAGGAGTCCCCAGAGCTGCTCCAATTTAGCCAGGCAGAAATTTAAGTTTCCTTTTAAAGAACAGAGCCTGTAACCTTATTTCTATTCTATAATTTGTTTGCAAATTTCATGTCCCTTCCTCCCTTCCTCTCTCTCTTTTAGGAGTTATTAAGGAAATATATTTCCCCCTAATTTAGATGTTTCTTTCATTTAGCAAACATTGATTTTGCTCTTTTTCCCAGTGCTGTTGTTCCTGCCACAATTAATGGGGTTTTTTGGTTTGTTTTGCAGAGGGAATGGCTGGGGGCAGTCATGGGAGTGGGTCCTGCTCCCTCCGAGGAACTTTGGTGCTCCAAGAAATATGAAGAAGGATGAGGAGCCCTGTGCTCCGTAGGATTCCTCTAAGACATCAGTCTTAGCGGTAGACACAAAAACCAGAGAATTTAAAACCATTTCTTTTTCATGCAGTGAAAATTCAAAAGGGGGATTTGGGCCATGTGCCGCCCATAAAAATGAAGGCAAAACCTTTCAAAAGTATCTGAGATCTGCAGATAGGGTCATGGTTTCTTTTAATGTTTCAAAAGTGTTGAATATTAAAAAAAAAACCCTCAACAGAAGTTTAAATAAACACAGGCAAGTGAGTCAGTTAGAAGATATAAAATCATCAGGAAAGGCTGAGTTTGTTTTAATACAGGGATTACTGTAAACACTCACAGTGCATGGTAACAATTTGTAGCCCATGTGTTTTGAAATATCATAACTAGTGTCAATAAACACATTAAAATTCTACTTCAAAGAACTCTGTGGATGTTTGGAGTGTCACAAAGACATTGCAACCCAGGGATTTGGGATGCAAACAAGTATGGGAGCAATCAAACAGCTCCTCTGTGAAGAAAGGGATCTTGTCCAGCTGTTAGAGCTAAGCATCTGTGAGGGTGATTATTGCTGCATACGGCTCGGAGCAGCTCCCAGCCCCTGATTTTTTTGTGTCTGCCTCCCCTCCCACCCTGACCTGCTGCTTTAGCTCTCCCACCTGCTGGGTCTCACTTCCCAGGCTGAATCCTTCGGAGCAGGGTTTACTTCTCCAGACAGGGACAGCCTGACTGATCCTCAGGCACAGTCCCAGCAGGAATCCCAAATTCAGGGTGTATCTGGAGCAGGTGGCACAGCCTGAGGGTTGTCCCCATGGACTGACTGGGGATAGAGCTCAACCATGCGTGGCATATTGTGGGAGTTGTGTTATTCCTACATTTCCAAGGTGCATCTCAGCTTTGAGTTCATGTTCCACCCCGATAGTGGGAACCAGCCAGGCAAGGCATTATGAAATCATGGAATATCCAGAGCTGGGAGGAACCCACAGGATCATCCAGTCCAGCTCCTGGCCCTGCACAGACACCCCAACAGTCCCACCCTGGGCATCTTCAGGCGTAACTTCAGGAAGTTGTGTCCAAAGGCTCCTGGAGCTCTTGGGGCTGTGCCTATTCCCTGAGGAGCCTGGGCAGTGCCCAGAACCCTCAGGGGAAATAACCTTTCCCAAAATCCAACCTAAATATGCTCTGGCACAGCTCCAGCTGTTCCCAGGGCCCTGTCACAGAGCAGAGATCAGAGTCGTCCCTTAGGAGGAACTGCAGAGGAGTCAGTGGCTCATGCAGAGAGGATTTGCTCCTCTCAGTCCTGTTCCTCCAGTGTCTCACAGAATCACAGAACCCCCAGGTTGGAAGACACTTTTAAAATCATTGAGTCCAACCCATGCCCTAACACCACCTCCACTAAACCATGGCACCAAGTGCCACATCCAATCTTTTTTTAAATACATCTAGGGATGTGTTTTAAAAACACCACCACCTCCTGGGCAGATAATTCCAGTACTTTATCACTATTTCAGTAAAAATCTTCTTCCTAACATCCAACCTAATTTTCCCTAGGCACAGTCTTAAGTCTGTGTCCTCTTAAGACTCTCCAGAGCTCTCAGAAAATGAGCTATCTCTCCATACCCAAATGAGATCCTGTCACATCAGCACGAGCCAGAGCAACAGGTGAGCACAGGGTGGGTTTGATGTCTCACATTGTCTCATCCACAAATTCAATTTGCTGCACTTGAGCTAAACACAAACAGCCATTCCCCTTATTGCAAAGCCCACAGTGCCCAAATTAATTCACACATGTCCTTTTTAAGGTGACACAACCAATCTGAGGGAACAGATGAGCATTTCTGTGTCCAGGTTTGATCATCCCAGTCAAGATTCTCTTGTTTTAATCCTGAACCTCTTGTTGACAGCGGAGTGCTCCATGTGCAGGCCAGGCAGGATTAAATGTGGCTTCTTGGGGGATGTTTGGAACAATCTGTGAAATGCTGAGGGCACCTGTTGGCATTAATAAGCACTGTGTGTGGGAGCAGGGGGGAAATCCAGGCTGGATGTACACAGCTATGGAGGGGACAGGGGACATTGCTGACACTTAACATGTGTAGGAGTTGAAGCAGAATGGAAATAACACCCACAGAGAGGACCCCTGGTTCCGTGTTCTAGGAATTTGCCTGAGGTACAAACATCTCTGCACACAGGCAGCCTTTGCTTGAATTGAAATTGCTGTTCAATCCATATTTTTGTTTGGAATCTGCCCCTGGTTCATCAGCGCCTTCCTGGAGTCACTGTAGCACCTTTGCCATGCGAGCTGCAGGAAAGGGTAATTAAATTTAATAGAAGCCACCCTTGCTTTGAAGCTGCCCTGGTTTTAGGGCCACAAGGAGAAGCAATTAAATTCCAGCAGCCATTTAAGCTGAAGGTAGAGAGTAATTTATTTATTTTTTTAAAAGGAAATTTCCTCAGTAAACAGATTTGAATTGTCAGATCTGATTAGATCTTAAAGCTATAGAGATTTCCTTCTTTGGGAGTTTTGCTTCTCTTGAAGCAAAATGAAATGATTTCACAATTTCATGATTTTATCAAAAATAAGTGTTTAAATGAGGCAACAAGGAAAGGCAAAAATATTCTAGAATGCTGTAATCAGTGCCAAAGTTACTTCTAATTATTTAAAAATAATTTTTAAGAGTTTCCTATAAAGGATCAGCTGGAAAAGGTCTGATTCTGACACAGGCATTATTCAGAAAAGCAAACTACTAACTCAGTTAATATTTAGAAGGAGAAAAAATAGTCCTAAACTTCACCAACTCTTGGAAATATTTGAAGAACCTCAGCTCAGCCAGAGGCACAAGTGAAAAATCTCATTGGTTTTCATCTCTCTTCCCCTCACAGAGTACCCAGGTGTGCAGGGATTCAAGACCTGAGTCCTATGGGAGCAGCACCTTCTCTCCTGGGGGATCCTTCCCTTTGAGGTCTCTGGAATATTCAGGGTTTGAATTCTGAACATCATTTTTGACCTCATTAAAACCATTTCCTTTCAAAACCCAGAAAAACCCCTAAGAGAGTCCAAATATAAATCAATGCAAATGCAATTACTGCAAACCCTCCCCCTCCTCTGTGCCTTGGGAAATGGAAAAATCCATCGATTCTCTGCTGTAATTTATCTTGGAAGTAGGAACACCCCACCTCAATTCCAAGTACCAGCCCTGAATCAAAGGCTCTGGACTGGCTGGATCCCTGGAGGAGGCAGCGCTGCCAGTGCAGCTGCAGGGGACTGGGAGCTCGGGAGACTGGAATTTTGGAGGACTGATATTTTGGAGGACTGGGATCACAGGGAACTGAGAATATAGAGGACTGGAAGCACAGGGGACTGGGATCATGGGGAACTGGGATCTTAGAGATTGGAATCATGGAGGACTGGGAGCATGGGAGACTGGGCACTTGGACGGCTGGGATCACAGAGGATTGGAATCTTGGAGGATTAGAAGCACACAGCAGTGGGATCTTGGATGACTGGGGTCACAAAGGAATGGGAGCACAGAGGTCTTGGACCACAAAGGATTGGGATCTTGGAGACTGGAATAATGGAAACTGGGATCACAGGAGACTGGAATCACAGGAGACTGGGGTTTTGGAGGACTGGGATCACAGGGGGTTGGGAGCACAGGGGACTGAGATCACAGGATACTGGGATCTCAGTGGAATGATTCCTATTTGTGACTGGAGGATCTGGAAGGTTCTGGCTTAGCTCTCCACCAGGAGCCACTGTGGGCCACCACCATTCCCACCCAGGGTGTTCAGCTCCATGGGGTCAGGAATCTGTCCTGTGAGCTCAGCCACTGGCTCTGGACACTGTATGGTCAGCTGGTCTCTCTCGTGGGTTTTTTCTGCTGGTTTGGGATTCTCCAAATGCAAACCTGTCATGTTTAGAGCAAGCCATAAGGATGGCTGGACTGGGAAAGGAACCCAGGCCTAAAGGGAGATTTTGTCTTTTCCCTTCCTGATGGAAACTGGGGCAGTTGCATCCTGGGACGGGCATGGAGAAGATTTGGATGTGTCTGTGTGGACAAGGAAGTGCTGACTGGGGTCATCAATCCTTTGTACCCTGAAGAAATGATGAAATTTGAAATCATCCAGGCCAGACTGGTCCTGGGCCACCGTACAGTCCCTGCCAAGGTCATCACCTGCCAGGTGGCACAGCCAGCCTGGATTTCAGGCAGAGGTGTCACCAAACACTGGGAACTGTCAAACACTGGGAACTGCATCAGCACAGCAGAGAAAGATTGCCACGGATATGTACCAGAAACTGTGTTATGTTGCTTCAGATCCCTGCCAAAATATGCAGGGAAAGCCAGAAAAACTGAGTTGTGAGGACATTCTCCCTGATGGATGGGCTGTCAAGGCAGGAGAGCAGCTATTCCAAGCTCCTGAAACACCCACAGAGGCAGAAATCCCAGAGCCAGGGGTTGGGAGGATGGTCCTCAGGAGCACCACCAAGTGTTGGGAGCATGTCCAGCCCAACATCCTCAGAAGTGTGCTGCTGTTGGGCAGGTTCACTCCCTTCCAAGTTTTCAGAGAGGCTTCTGAAGGAGCTCCAGTCAGGAGTTCCCTGCATAGCTCATGTGGGGGCTGTTTCACCCTGAGGCTGGATGTGCTCCATGTGGGTTGGTGCTTCCATGCTTGGCAGCTTAAGAGCATTTAGGAATATGGGGAGACCATAATGAGGTTGGACCAGCAGTGCTCCAGAGAAAAATCCTCTTGAAAATGTCAGTAGGACCATCCAGGAGGTTTTTGGGGTTTTTTTAAGTGCCAATCTGACCAGCTGGAGAGCAGTTAATAAATCAGTACAAAAATAATTGATTTATAGTAAGTGATTTTATAGCTTACTAAAGAAAGGTCTCTTGTGCATTGGACTGAAGAAAGAGTCCTTGTTCAGAGCATTATTGCCATCCAAGATGTTTGGTTTAATTCTAGAAATGTGTTGATCCCTGCTAGAACTGCAAACAGTTTGTCAGACTTTTAAACACTCGGGAATGAGCCCCCTCCACACCGTGCCTGCAGGGACTGGCTCCGTGCCACACCCTGTAAACTGCCAGGGACTGAAAGAGAAGGGGGACCCAGGGGACTCAGGGGGGCTGTGACCCTTACCCATGGCCCTGGGGGTCTCCTGCAGGAGCTCTGAGGACACTGGACTTCCATGTTGATTTTGCTCACAGAATGAGTTGGTGTGGTTGTTAAAGCAGAGCTCTCACACCTGTGAGATGTTCTCACATCTCTGTGCTCTTGGCAGCCTTCTTGTGGGATTTTCTGTGGCACATCCCATAAAACATTGCCTCTGTTTGTCCATCTCTGGGAGTTTCACCAAAAATCCAACATCAGAACCGTGTGAGGCTAAATTTAGATAATACTGTTCATTAATAAATTAGAGAGCACAAGGTGAGAGGTACCTCATTTGGGGTTGTTCTTAGAGGTCTCCTCAAGAGATATTTAATGTCAGGGATCTGAGGGATCAATCCCAAGCTGGCATCAATCCTCTTTGGGAAAAGCTGAATATATTGGAGGAAGTGTTATCTTTCTGCCTTATCACCAAGTGCCGGTAAAAGTGTTGATCCAGAGAAGTTTAGCTGTAATTATTAAACAAATACACCCTGCTACGCTCATTGTTTATAAGTAATTCCACTGGTGTAAATATCCTGGCTAAGGGAACTAAGGAATTCCTAGGAAAGGTGTGAATTTTCAGCAATTAAATTTAAATTCAGTTCAATAATTTGAAAGTTATGTGTTTGCAGAGATCTTTATCCACACCTGCCACATCTGTGCACTGCTTCCAGGCAGGCAAGAGAAATCAGATCTGAATTTCTGCTTGGCTCTGTGATTTATAAATTGTTCAGGAATGACTGGGGAAAATCCCCTGAAGATACACTGGAGAACATGGTGAATCTGCTCAGTAGTGACTTCAGTGATTCAGAAAAGAGCTGAAATCTGCCTTGTTCATCACTCAGTTCCAGGGCCCACCTGTGCTCCTGCAGCTCTGGGGATGAATCTGCAAACTCATGGATGCCCTCAGCTGCCTTGGGACTGAGCAGTCACCTGTCACCTCCTCCTGCAGCCCTGGCAAGGATTACAGGGCTCTTTTCCTTTCCTGCAGGACCCTTTTCCTTTACTGCAGGACATTTCCAGGGCTCTGAAGAAGGCACAGCCACCCCTGGGCTCAGCCAGCCTCGGCAGGGCACAGGGAAAAACCAAATGGGCTGGAAGGATGTGGGCAGCAGATTTAGGACAGCTCCACAAATCTCACCAAATCTCATTTTCTCCCTGATCAAGAGTAAAGCAAAGACTTAGGGAAAATCACAAGGCTTTCCTGCTCCAGAGGCTTCCCAAAGCTGACATCCACGTTATCCCACCGAGTTAATGCAAGAATTCAGAGCACTCTGGAGCTGTTCTGAAATCAGGATCAGCAATCTTGTATCTCTCCTCCAGTCTGGGGTGTCACCTTTTAGCAGTCCGCTGGAAAAGGCTGGACAAATGAGGGAGAGCTGGGAATAATTTAAATATTTCACAGCTCCCTGAGTTTTGTATGGGGAGGGAGTTGTAGTGGCTGAAGTGTTTAATCTAAGGCAAATAAAAATTTTTAAAAAGCAACAACAAAATTCTGATGTGAAATAAAAATAAAAAAAAAAATTGCTGGAAAACAGAGGGAACCTGTGTGAAAATGGGAGAAGGGAAGGGGAGGGGAGGGGAGGGGGGGGAAGGGAAGGGAAGGGAAGGGAAGGGAAGGGGAG